CCCAGTGGAGAATGACTCCACTGATGTGTTCGCTCAAACCGGGTGTGGAGAAGCACATTGCTCGGTAAGCAGCCCTGTTCTCAATCACATCCTCGGCTTTCACAGCCACGTACCAGCGCATCATGCGCTCAAACATGCCTGTGGCCTACGGTCCACCAGAACCCAAAACACGATCATCAACAGGATTGCTACCTGCTACATTTCCAAGTCCATTCAACAGTGCTCCTTGCCATACATCATGAATCATGATGGACATGCCGAGGACGCTAGGCACAGCAATGACAGCATGAGAAATGCTCAAATCAATAACCAAGCCCTTCCAGACTCCTGCATGCTATTCACCGTGGTTGTTAGGTCATGGGCGCATGTCCTAATGGACTTCCAAGCAGCCTCAATGAACAGCAAACTTTGTGTAAGGGGTGAAGGCACATCATGACCTTTTATAAGACGTATGCCAGTATGCCCTTCAACCATCATTTGTCCTGCTTGCTTCGATCCGCATCCCGATTCCCACGTTCAATCATTAGGGTTTACCATGATTCTGACTCCAACTGTTGCGAAAAGGCTCTGGGATCTTGGCTGCTTCAGCATGGCCCGCGCGCAGCCAAGGTCCAGCGCTCTCATCGGAGGCCAAAAAGCCTTTGCCTCAGCAATCTCGTCAGAAGTACTCAACGAGTATCAATGTTTGGGGTTGAGAGTTTGAAGGCTTCGGGTTGTCCACAACTGCATGCTCATGTTTACCTGTTCTTGCCCGCTTCCCATTTTCGCGCCTGGCGCGCATAGCTTCTGAGCGGTCTCCTTGAGCTCTGCCAAGACATCTGCCGGCAGCACGCTTGGGAGGCCCGCACCATCCAGGGACATATTGGCAGGATGCACGGAAAACGATCTAAAAACGTATCTGCGGAAGGCGAATATGGATACATAAATGCTTCATTCGCAAGATGCCTTCAACTGGGCCAGCCGTTTAGCCACAAAAAAAAAATGTAGGCAGGAGCTTGTGTCAGACCTTAAGCGTCCTTCTGGTCCATGGCAGGAGTACCAAATGAAATGTGGCTCTCACCCGAGCTTTTACTCTCAGCGCGGTTCGACCTGCTGCAGCTTAAAATTTTGAACAGCGAAGCTCAACAAATCTAAGTCACTCTGGAAGCATCTGTTTGATTGATCTTGTCTTGCTTTGTCTTCCTCACCTGTAAAAGATGCCTCAGCTCACCTTGCTGCTTCCAGGTTATGACAATGGGAACATGGACAGCCTTGGCGGCAAAAATACAGCACCCCTCGTGACATGCATTGTGACCAAACAGATCAAACGAATTAGTCAGGCGATCACAGATCACACCCCTCTATGCCTGCCAGCCGGATTTAGGCGAAACGTTTTGTGTCCGTGGCAGCAGCTCACATCTTTGAAGTACACTGGGCCGCTTACCCTGCTCTAGGCTCTAGGTTATCATGCAGTCGATCTGCAATTCCTGAATGATGTGGCAATGATGTGGCTGTACTGCAACTTGATGCAACTCAGGGCTATCTCTAGCCTCAGTAAGGTCCTGCTGCCTGCATCACGTTGCCATCCGTGCCAACACTGGCACAGCTGCCCTTCTTGTACTTGCCGAAGACTGCATCGGAGTTTGCGTTGGCTCGCGCCTTCAAGGCCTTCTGCGCAGCTGCATCGTTCTCGGCCTTTCCCAGCCAAGTGACGATACAGGTTTTCTGCAAGGCTTTGCCATAGGAGAAAGACAAATGCCACGGCAGCTTTCCGGCAAAGAGGCTGTTCATCGTGCTCAAGTTGATGGTGGCCTCTTCCTCGTTATCTTCATTCAGGGCTGTCTCGCCCGACAAGAAGAAGATGCCCGGCATCGAGGGAGGAACTGTG